AATACAATTTGTTATTAAATAACAGTTTTTAATTTCATTTCAATAACGAAAACTAGTTTGAATGGCTTAGATTTATTGTAAAATGATTAGAAATGTATTTGCTTTCATAAAATTTGGAAAATATAGACCGTTTTTGGCGTCTACAAACACAAAGGAGCAAAAGCCACAAGTCATTTTTTTTACAATCCGATAACTCTAAAACTCGTGTAAAATGTCATGTAAAATCCACTCCCTCTATGCTCCCATTCAGTCATGATGTTTGCAAACTGCCCTGTTTTTATAGAGTGCAATCTGTGTGTGAGGTGCTTTGGTCAAGATAAGTAAAATAACTATTTAATTGCAGTGCATTATCCTTCATTTCAGCAATCGCTGAAAACAGCAGGATTCAGTGGCGCTGAACCTTCTGACACTCTGGTTTTTCAAGCAAGCTTGTCAAAATGTTCTCTATCTTTCCAGCATCTGTCACTTCGACAGCTTCTGAAACTGATTTTCTTCTGGCAGTCCAGCGAGAGAAGAGGTGAGTAACTGCATGTCATTGTCGGGGGTTGTTGGGGGTTAAGGTTGGTTCCCCCTCTGTAAAAAACTGCGTCCCAGGCCCCCTCTCCCTCGCCGGGCCCTTGGAATCGTCCTAACCTTCCCCCTTGTTACGGCGCCCCTGGGCCTGTGCGCCGTTTTGATGGTGATCCATTGAAACATTACAGATGTGTGTTTTAATTATTAAAATATTTATTCGTTTGAACGAATGAATGTTTGTTTGATTTAAAGGCTTGTTCATAAAGATAATGGCTGCGTCCGAAATCACATAGGCTACTAAGTAGCCTACTTCTTTTGAACAAGTATACTTTGCGACCATTAAAAAGTACGTTCTATAGACCTTATGTATTAGTATTTGTATCGTGAAAAGCACTATACAAAATAAACTTGAATGTAGCCCCGCCCCTTTTCAGAGCAGCGCTCGTTGTCTTCTGTCGTTTGAATTCTGACATTTGTTATTGGCTCAGAACATTGCAATGCTCATGAAAACTTTCCTCAATTCTACAATACATAAGTCCACTTAACAAGCGAATCACACTTCAACAGTGATGCTATCCACCTTATTTTTCAACACAAAAGTAAGCCGTTTTCTGTGAATGTGCAAGATGTCCGGTTCATTAGCCACTGTAGGGAAATAGCGAGAAGAATAATAAAGTGCAGTGAAGGGTAAAACTGTTTGCACTACAAACCACTGTGTTCATAATTAAGATAATACATTAAAATAATATAGTACGACATGCCAGTTTGAAATATCAAGCAGCAAAACAAGCTCTTTTGTACAGCTCAAAATAGCTGGGAGCAGATGAGACCAGAAGCCTCACAAGTAAAATTTACAAATGGAGAAACCATAAAGATGGCTGCACCCTTTTTTCTCAGGCGCATTAGGTCTATATAGTGTGAATGTAACCCTAGTGTATTAAGCCATGTTGTCATTGTCATGTTACCTACACGCAGTCGTGTTGTGTCACTACCATCGCCCCATGGGATAGTAAAGTGCCCACTGGATGCGCACTCTGGTCATCTGGGTACTTTATAGACATAATATTATATTATAGACATAATATTCTGTTCACATACTGGTTTTTTGCTCTCTATAGGAGGTAAATATGCAATTTCGGATGCAGCCAGTTACTTTCGATGAATCGTTGTTTTTTAAAAGGAGTTGGTTGAGTATTTTGACTCCTTTATTTCGTTCGTTTTTGAATGAATCGCCGTGTTTGAGCAAATCGGTTGAGTGAATCATTCAATGGTTCACTCATAAAATAACTTGTTTAGTTCCTGAAAGAATCTGTGGTTTGAACGAATCGGCTGAATGAATGATTCAGCGATTCACTTATAAATACATCACTATTCACAGTCACTGTGCAGCTTGCGAAAAACATCCCCACCTATAATACACAAAGAATGCTGCTTTTTAATTCAAAATTATAAAATATAATTATAAAAAAAATTACCAATTGTTCTACTGGTTCATTACAATAGAAGGCAACTGTAAAGAAAGGAGCGTAATGCATGAAGCTGTTAAAATTGTGCTTTTTATTCAAGATGTCACAGTGACATACAAAGAGGCCAGTCATACGTAATTGTCTAAAATGGAACTGGAAGACATTTTTACTGTACATTAGCTGTGCTGCTTTCCAGTTTTACTGGAATCAAACCAAAGCCTGTGCATTTGCTATGCTGCTTTATTCTGAAGTCCATGAAAAATGTAGGTTAAGCTTCCAGCACAGAGTGTTCAGCAATTTCGTCCAGAGCTCCAGGTAACAGGCAAGCAAATTTAAGATTCACCACAGAATCCGGAAATAAATCAGCTGCAAGCTCTGCTATAAAGCAATGCCATGCCACCTGTTTTTAATTCACAGGCACAATCCCAATCTGAACATTTATATTAAAAATAAATTAAAATATTAGCAAGATCCACTGCACTGGAATCTCAGTGGTTAGATGTGCTTTTTATTCTCCAGTCACAGCTGTAAAACCTGATTTAAATGCAATCTAGATGACTGAAAATGGATGCAAGGATGAAGAACTGTATTGTCAGTTGACACACATGATTAATAAAGAGCCCTTCATGAGCCGAGTTTGTGCTTCTCACATTAAATCTATTTGAGCATGAGATAGATATGCAGAGACTTAACCAAGACTGACAGCTCACAATGATGAACGTGAGTCAAGAGGTCATGCTTGTGCATATGGCAGTGAACATTTTCTCCAAAAAGACACCTTTGAACAGAATTGTGTTATTATTCTGTTTGCATGAAGCTTTATGGCTTTCATCAAGCGAGAAATGTGTCACAGAAACCACATCATCACATTCCCATTCCTGCAGCTGACCTGATACAAGCCAGGCTAATGTAAATGCATAAATAATAACAATAATAACTCCTTGGCAGAACTTAAATTGGATGTGGGCATCGGAAAAGTTGGAATAGTCTTCGTTTATTGGCCTTCCTGTCATTCCAAACCTGTATGAGCTACTTTGATCTGTGTAACACAAAAGAAGATATTTTGAAGAAATATTTTCTCATGAAATTAAAAACACACCATTATAAGATTTACTGTACCAGTGCTTGCTAGGAACTGGAAATTACTGGCCTCGTTTCAGCAGAGAAAATGATTTGATTTAAGTGGATTTCATTGCATGCAATGAAATTAAGTTGTTTAAAAACTGTTGCATTAGCTTATTTATTTTTTTTATGTTGTTTAATGTTTATCAGTTAAAAAACTGGTTATGGAAGGGCAAGTCAATTCCTTTGCATTGTAGGATATAGTCATTTGTACAGTGTGCTCTTGTTGTACACTGTTTTTTGCAAATGTTTTGTGTACAAATTTTCATACACAGTATACAGTATATGAATCTGACACATTACAGCAAAGACTAAAGAATTTGTATCATGCAATGCAACTTGAATATCAATAAAGACTGCAGAAATTGTTCAAAGTAGAAATTGTTTGCAATTAATATGTGTAGAAAAAAGAGCAGTCATAAGACTTCCTTTCACTGGTGCAATCTTACTAATTATCAAATCACGTTTTGATCACTGGATTCAGATGTTGTGACATAAAGCACACTTTTAGAGCACTTGACAAAACATTTAGCACCTCTAATAACAAACTCCACTTTATCTCGATTTCATTCACTCTGTCATTGGAACCAAAGAAAATAAATAGGGGAAAGAAATGGAGGATTTGCCTTAAAACGTTTTTTATTTACATTGAGCCATATACAATTCACCAAAGTGAACCATTGCACTTGACTCAGATGATGTGTCAGAAGTGGATTCATATGTGAGAGAAACACACTTAAGTTTTTTTTCCTTGAAAATGACATTGCTTTCAAACTCCATCAAAAAGAGTCATTCTATTCAGCATCTGCTTTCAGCAGCATTGAACTATACTGAACTATACAAATGGTTCAAGGACAGTTTAGAAAATGCTTTCTCTCCTCATGGCTTTTTCCTCTGAAGGTCCGCAAAGTTCATTCAATATTTTCCCAGAAAGAGAGAATAAACTCGGTCACAGTGAGTGAGTTGCAGTCCTGAAGCTCAGCTTTTGGAAACACTGCATATCCATGGAGACGTTGGTTGCTTGAGATGTTTGGGGTGGTCTGAACAACAAATGCAGTCCCATGCAGTAGAATCACCTATCATGGTCTCGTATCACATTAGCAGTCAGGAGTTTGGACACACCTTCTGATTTCCTATGATAACTATTATCAGTATTTTCCAATAATGAACCCCACATTTTTGGTGCTCGCAGAAGAGGGAGTCATCACAGTTGGCTCTGTTGAAAATGATGTGACACAAAGTACAGTGTCATAAATGTACATTATTTTAAAATGAAAATATAAACTTTTTTACAATGATAACAATTCTGGAAATGTGCCATCGCACTGTGAAAAAGAGTCCATAGAGAGGTCATCAAAACCATGAAATAGTACAAACAGAAATGTGTGAATTCTGTAATGAAGGACGAACGTGTATGCTGAACACTTGTTGATTTTACATCAATATCTCCTTCAATTCACCCATTAAATAAAAATACATTCAAATAAATAAATTCATTTAATTTTTAGTCATTTTTGTTTCACCCTTACACTTTTTAAGAAATGTTTCCTTAAATTTGTATTGAAAAAAAGAGAAAAAAAAACTACAAAATATTAAAATAAAAATACATTTAAATAATTTTAAATAAATACATTTAATTTTTAGTCAATATCTACTAATTTTCTTAATAATTTTTGTTTCACTCTTTTGCTTATTAAGAAATATTTCCTTAAACTTGTATGGAAAAAAACTATGAAATAGTACTGGGAAATAAATCAGTAGAACATTTTTTCTCAAATTAAAATTTTACAAATAATTAAAAATAAAATATGTTTTTGCTTCACCCTCTGCTTAAATGCACCCAATAAACAAACAAACAGACGTATATATTCGTAAACATTTCCTTAAACTTGTAGGGAAAAAATAAAGAAAAAACATGCCTTGAAGTTTTTGAGATCGTGAGAAGCACGACAAGTGCGTCCAAACTTTTGTGTAGTGATGTACATGTATTATATGCGCCAATGCGATTCTATTTCAAGTCAGCAATGTCTGATATTTGCAAATCCACGTTGTTGCAGGGGTATACAAAGATGCATTCAAAAGTTCAAACGAGTCTCAGTGGTTGTTTTCCTCGTTGGTAACGTCACATCCCGATCTCCATCTGCACCACGGACACCGCAGGCGGACCCTCCGCCACCTTCTTGCCCCGGTACACCAGCTTGGCCAGGTTCCGGGTGGACGGAGTGCCTCTAAACAGCAGTTTCTTGAGGCCGGTGCGGTACTCCTGGCGGATCAGACAGTACAGCACCGGGTTCAGGCAGCTGTTGGTGTGCGCCAGGCACACGGTGATGGGGAACGCGTAGGCCTGCGCGTTGTAAAACGCGTTGCTGAACGGCACCAGATCGAATTTGATGAGCACCCCCCAAAGGGTCAGCGCCTGGTTGGGCAGCCAGCACAGAAAGAACGACAGAACCACGATGGTGACCGATCTGGTGACTTTGGAACGGCGCTTGTGCCGCCCTCTCTCGCTGTCCGAGCCGGGAATTCCACTGACGCGCCGCCGCAGAACGAAGCGCAGCAGGAGGAGGTAACAAACGCAGATGATGACCAGCGGAATCACGAAGCCCAGGAGGACCTTCTGGGTTTGATAGAGACCCAGAAGCAGCTGCGGGTCCCAGCTACCGGAATCCGAGAAGCGCACGAGGCACAGCTCGTCGTCGGACACCTGCGCCGTGGTGGAGTAAACCGCGTGAGGGATGGTGACCACCACGGACACGATCCAGATTCCCAAACTGGCCCACTTGACCTCGGCCGAGGCGGTTTTGGGACTTTGCATCCGCAGGGATGAGGACAGGGAGCAGTAGCGCGCAACGCTCATGGCCGTCAAGAAGAACACGCTGGCGTACATGTTCATAGTGGTGACCGAGCTGATGATCTTGCACATCACCTTTCCAAACGGCCATCTGAAGTCCAAAGCGGTGTCCACGGCCCAGAACGGAAGAGTCAGGACGAACTGCAGGTCCGTCACGGCTAGACTCATGACGAAGCAGTTGATGGACGACTGCTTGAGTCTGTGGCGTGACTGGAGCAGGTAAAGCGCCAACAGGTTCCCGACGAGCCCCAGAGCGCACACGGTCAGGTAGACGAGCGCAATCACGACGCGCATGGCCACGCTCGAGCTGTCGCCGTAGAGCTCCGGCGCGGACTCTTTGGAGAGCAGCTGCAGCCAGCAGCGGAGAGACAGGTTGTGGAGAGCGGTCCGGTTCGACAGCGCATCGCCCTCGTCCAGTGCCGGTCCGCACGCCGCTAAACCCGGTGCCAACGCGCTGCTGTTCCCCTGCATGGCACGACTTTACGCACCCATACGATTTCTATAAGATTCCATGTGCTACGCAAATGTGTTCCTAAAAGTCATCCTACAGGTGCAGCATGTGATCCTCATGCGCGTAAACTCTTTATTCCTATTTTTAAGTACGGTTGCTGCGTGAATCTGAGTCGCAGCCGCTCCTCTCTCCTCTGACTCTCCGCACCTGAATGAGCTCATGGAGCATCACGGGGCTTTATATAGGGGAGACTGACTGCTGTCACATGGGGACGTTTGCACTTGCCATTGAAAAAAAAAATGTCATTAATGTAGTTTATTTTTATTTAACCTGAAAAGGCTGTAGGCTTATAATAGGTTTTGGATAAAAAACATCTGCCAAATGAATAAATGTATATTCCACAAAACTGAAATTCCACAAATACCTACTGTAGAAAATGTACAGTGTAGCTGGCATAAAACACGTCTATGAACTAGTTTTATTTTACTTTTTGTGTTAAATTATATATATATATATATATACATACATACATGCAAGGAGATGGACAAAATAGATTTTCTTATGCATCTGAGGCCGGGGGGATGTGTTTAATTGTCATTAAATTATCACATAATGATTATGTATATAATTTTTCTTTAACGCTATGTACTATATGTTACTTTTGGCTCTCTAGTGGTTGAAGCACAAGTAACCTGCGGAGGAACATTGTTTCGGTCAGTATGTGAGTTGTGCTGCGGCTCTGCTATTCTGCACGGATGAATCTGATGGCTTGAGGCGGATGATCGCATTATCAGTGCGAATGTCAAAAAGAACATCAAAACTCTAGCAATAAAGAAAGAAAGACTGAAAAATATGCCTCACAAACAGGTAAGCAGCTGATATGCCATAGTTGTTTTGACTTAGGCTATTAACATTGTTTTAAAATCATGGTACAAAAGTTTGGCAATGCCATATAACTGCTTTTCATATCAGATAACCATGGCAACTATAATTGGCAAAGCTACTTATAGGCAAATAGACCAATATTTTAACTGGTTTAGAGATTGCCATTGTTAGCAACATAAACATAGTTTTGTGAATCTCCTCAATGCACAGCAAATGTGATGCTCTGCATGTTGATTCATGTTTTATTATGGGTTCTTTTGCTTCGGTTCGAGGTTTAATAGTTGTGGATTCAAGCTATTTTGAGGCATATAGTAGTAGCCTGACCTGCTTATGATGTACGCACAGATGAATGAGGAAAGTATGCAGTTTCCCGGGAAATCCGTCCCAACAGCTTTGAAATGTAAATAATGATTACATGTTTACCATAGTGATTTTGGGGGCAAAAACAGGGTTTGGAAGATGGTTTATGATGTTTGCTCATTGTTTAAATTTGGTTAAGTTCGAACCAAAAAAAGTTACATAGTGTAGCATTGAACGAAAAATAATATTTATTTATTGTTTGGTTGTTGAAAAATTACCCAGACATGTTTTGTAAGATTCATGAAAAAAACTATTTCTGTAGCTGACAATACATTTTAAACACATTTATTTTAATGAAGATGTTTATACTCAATGTGGTTCATATTGTAAAATAATCTTCTCGAAACATTCTTTTCAAGGCATTCAGCTCAAGTAAGTGTGAATAAACAGCAGGTTCCCATTGTAACAACATATGGTATGTGGGTCAGCTTGTGTTTCATAACTGCTATCTTTTTTTTTTTTCCTGGTCAGTGATGGTGGAAGTGTTCAATGGCTTTTTTTTAGCCAAGACTTTAAAGTTTGTCTCTACTCAAACTTTCTTTAAAAATAATTTCACTCTGAAAAATATTCACTATAATATAAAGTGTGACAACTAGCCCCAGGCTCTGTAAGAACACCCACATATAAAATTAAGCCCTAAGCCCATGCTAGAATCGTGGGCTTGACTTGTTAGTGGTTGAAACAGCCTTTTCTGGCTCAAGCAAAGTAATTGGAACACATATGAAATAATTTATTGAATTTCCAGACAACTAGCCCCAGGCTCTGTAAGAACACCCACATATAAAATTAAGCCCTAAGCCCATGCTAGAATCGTGGGCTTGACTTGTTAGCCTTTTCTGGCTCAAGCAAAGTAATTGGAACACATATGAAATAATTTATTGAATTTCCTGATTTTTTTTTTACTCTTGGGAGACTCATACAGAAATGAATTAATCTGTCCTCAAACAGTTTGTCCTGAAAATCATTACTGTGTGCACGTTTAATAAAACAATCTAAGAATGCATATTCCAAATATCTCAAACAAAGTGAATTTTCTGGTTAAAAACAAATAGTTTCAAATCCACTTAATTGTGATAAAAGCAAACTAATATGCATGATTTCCATCTTTAAATCACTTTTAAAGTCACGTTTAAAACATTGTATTCCCATGAGAAGTTTTGAGACTCGTGAATGAGATGGTGTCTGACTTCTCTTGAGTTTGCTGGCCATCAATATTTGCATGTAAAAATGGGTCAGTATTCAGACTTCACACAGCGTTAGAGAGAGAGATCATCATCAGAGCAGGCAGTGATCTCCACACGCGTTCAGCTGTTCTGTCCGTTCTCCTTCTCAACATAGCTCTGAGGAAGAGTCTGTAATCCAGAACACACCACTCGCCCTGGACTCTGAGAGACAGTGATTGATCATGGTAGAGGTGGAAGGTCAATCGACTTCCCTCAAGGTGAGTGATGTTAATTGAGTTCATTCCAGGACAACTGGCGTCCACTGTACAGATTCTGAGATATTCAGTCTGGGATTGTCTTCTCGAACATTTAGTTCAGATGAACCCTGATTAGCATAGACAACTAGTCAATATATCCTGAAGAATGTGAACAGGATCCTAATAAATAATCAATCTAAAGGATCCTAATGGGATCAAACAAGAATCCTCCAAGTATCAAATTAGTAGTGGATAATTAATACTTTTTTACACAAGTTATTATGTAATCAGTGGGCATTTTTATAGTCCCAAAATACGATAATTGAAAATATATTCATTTTATGGTACACAAATGAGCCAAAACCTCCCAGATGTAGACGAGCTTATTTCTTCATGGGAACAGATTTGGAGAAATGTAGCATTCATCACTTGTTCACCAATGGATGCTCTGCAGTGAATGGGTGCCGTCAGAATGAGAGTCCAAACAGCTAATCACAATAATCCACACCACTCCAGTCCATCAATGTATTGTAAAGTGAAAAGCTGTGTGTTTGTAAGATACAAAGCAGTGCTGTCAAAATTAGCGGATTAACGCAGGCAGTTAACGCAAGGGCCTCAAAACGCAAAACGTCTTTACGACCACATCAAACAGGAGACTTTTCAGACGCGCACTACACTTTGCCTCAGCGCTAGATGCGAGTCAAACGAGCGCGGAAACGGTACAGGTGATGAGGAGCTTCAGTAGAACAACAGTGAACTGCGGTCAGATGAGATGTTGTCAGGCCATATGTCAGTAAAAATGAATGTTCCTGTCTTGTCAGCCGTTATACTGTGCTCGTAGCGCATGCTCCTCAACTGCACACACAAATACGGCGGTGCATGCTGTAGCCTCCATCATTTCATATTAAAGAAATGAAACTACGAATGAAACTACGAGCATGTGTGTCAGATCTGTGTCACGTTCAGCAGCGGCAGCTCTTAAAGTAATAGCAGCCAAATAACCTAATAACCAGCTGCTGTGATGTCTGTTCATCAAAGAAAAAAAGAGGAAATCAATATTTTTTGTAGATTTAAGGATTCGTCTATATTTAATTTAGAATTTAGTGTTTAATAACTTTGTTAAATTTCTGTATATTTTCTACTTTCTGAAGAGCACAGGTAGTTAAGTCTGACATTTATTATAATGGGTTTATGTGAAGATTGTTTTAGAAGTTGTTATTTTTTTTAAAGTCTAATAAATGTTAAAATTGATAGCTCTGAATGGCTATAGTCAATGGTTAAATATTAGCGGAAAAAACTATTTCACAGAGACATCAGTAGAATTGGTATCAATAATACTTGCCTTCAAAAAAGATGCCATTAAACAAATATTAAAAATATACTTTATGTTCATGTTGTTTCTACATTAATCTGAAGATTGAATGTGCAATTATTCCAATATGAATGTATATTTAAAAACTTTAATGGTAGGTGGGATCCATAATGTTGCTTTCTTCAGTTAAAAAGTCATCTTGCCCGAATCAGGAGAGAAATATGCACAGATCAAGCACTGTGTGAGAAGAGTCTAAAACAGTATTTGTCCTGTTCAGGTATATTCAGAAATCATGATATACTCTGTAAAATAGTTATGCAACCATACCTGATTCAAATGCATTGTGCATGATTTTAGACTAGGAGCTTTAATTAGGAAAACTGCACTTCTGGTTATTTGATATGCACGTCTGATATGAAATGAGATACTTCTGCTAATGAAAAGATTAACGAATAACCTCTAAAGATGGATATCTTTTAACAAAATAATAAGTAAATCTCTATAAACTCCTTGCTTAAAGCTCAGGTCTGGATAAATAAAATAAATCGAGCTTTTGCGAAATTAAAAAGTGATTGTGAATGTGATCCACTCGACCTGTGTCGATCATGAGTTTTTCAAATCAATGTCAAGGAAACTTCCCACGCAACACCCACACGAGTGACACCGGAGGTCATTTAATTACAGCTGGAAACATCATACAAATACAAAGAAATAGGAAATAAATACATTCAATTGAATTCAGTCAAGGTTTTACCATAATGTTGTAAAATTTGGAAACCTTTATCTTGGAAAATACAATTCCACATACTCATTTACCTTCAGTACTATTCTCAATGCTTAAATTATGCAGTTTGTAATGTAAAAAAAAAACCCACCAAGAAGTAAAACTAAAATGTAAAAGCCTAAAGGAGAGCTGTGCAGAAAGAAAACAAAGCAGCTCATTCTGTCCAAGATTGTGCTGTATTTCCTGGAGCTTCAAACAGCAGACTGTGTGCCAGCGGCCGCCTGCGGTGTAGTTTTGATGCAAAAGCACTGACCTCGTGTGAATCAGGTAATTGTTATTCCTCGCCGCCCCTCCTTTACCTCTAAAGCGCACCACATCAGTAGCTGCACCTGAAACTCTGGTGCATGTTGGAGCGAAAGGTGATTTTTAACGAATGGAAAGCAGCACGTGCCCTTGACCACTCCTGATGCGCTGATGAACACTGAGGTCTTGAGATGTGCAATACTCCACGGGTCCAATTATTCACATATTCTGATAGTCAGGCAACAGCTGCTTGGAGGCTCATGGAGGTGGAGCGAGAAAGAGCAATGTAACACTAAACAGACTGTGAGTGTAGTTTATGGAGCAACAAAAGTAAAAGTTGTTTAGCATTCAAAAGCCGCGTTTGACCGTGAGTCAAAACGCTCAAGGGAGTTCTGTGCAGAACAAAATTACAAACAGAAACAACCCTTGAGATAAATATTAAGGGCGATACATTAACGAACGTCTGGATTTAACACCCAGTTGTAGGTCGGTACATTGAGCTTGTGCGACTGCTTGATTGTGCTCAAATGAGATGAGCCCTGTGCATCAATCTGAGTTGATCAAGCGGCCGATGCGAAGCTGATCTTGGCACACCGCTTGGCAGGAGCGTCTGCTTTTGATGTGATGTGCTGTGTTAGGCCAATTCCCATTGATTAATCTCTTCCCCAACGGCAACGTTTAAAACACAGGCCAACATTTGACTTTCGTGCAAATCTGTGGATGCATATGCTCACTCACTGATGCATATTGCACAGAAAACTCTTTCTTGTTGGCTTCATGCAGTTTATGCAGGGAGTAGTAGCACTGAAAACAATTCATGTTTACAAATGTTAAGGCAGTGAACGCTTGAAATAGTCATTATCCGCTTGAATTGCCAGGTTATCTGCGTGAAATTTTTGTACAATATAGTTTGTTTAAGATACATTATTTGCAAGTAAACTTAAGCATCTATGAAATATGTGCTTTACATTTTGAAATTTTTTTTTTTATGAACATACTTTTTGCATAGTCTGTTGCATCATTATTTGCATTATTTATTTTCCGATTTCAGTGTGTTATTGTGGTATAATCTATTCAGATAAACCTGCAACATTTTGCACTATTTTTTTGTGTTTTCTGGACAACTTATTGCATAGCTTGTAAAATTTTTTGAATAATTTTTCCATTCCAGTGTATTTTGGTATAACCTATTCAGATAAACCCACAATATTTTAAACTATTTTACATGTTTTGTTTTTTTTTGTATTTTTCTGTACAACTTTTTGCATAGGCTGTTGCATCATTATTTGTATTATTTTTCCATTACAGGCTGTGGTATAATCTATTAAGATAAACCTGCAACATTTTACACTATACTATTTTTGTGTGTATGTTTTCTGTACTATTTGTGTGTGTGTGTGTGTGTGTGTGTGTGTGTGTGTGTGTGTGCGTGTGTGTGTGTGTGTTTTCCGTAACTTTTTGCATGCTGCTGTATTATTATTTGCATTATTTATTTTTCCAATTCTTGTCTGTTATAGTGGTATAATCTATTCAGATAAAGCCACAATGAAATGCCAAGTAAAAGTCAAATGCTTACAAATGTTGATGGAATGAATGCTTGAGGATTAAATAATAACTAGATTTGCCAAAGTTTGCGAGGTTAGTTGCATCAAATCTTTGTACGATATTCTGTGAGCATTTGTGCATCTGTGATTTGTATTTTGTTGCTGTTGTTGTTTGCAACATTTACCCTATTTTACAATTTTTTTTGTTTTCTGTACAACTTTTGCATGCTTTCCAGTTTCAATATATTGCTGCAGTATAATCTATTTAGATAAACCCATACCTAAATGCTAAAAGCAAAACAGACTGTGGTTGGTTGCTTTGCATGTCAATCAGACGCTCACTTCCTGTCTGTGGGTTTCCTGTCTGGAAACAATTTATGTTAACAAATGTTCATGCAATGAACGCTTGAGGATGAAACAGGCACTAGATTTGCCAGATTACTGTATTTGCATGAAATTTTTGTGCAATACTCTTACAATACAGTTTGTTTAAGGTGCATTATTTGCAAGTAAACTAAAGAATCTATAAAATATATACATTTTCGAAACATTTTATATTTTACAGTTCCGGTCTGTTATTGCAGTGTAATCTATTCAGATAAACCTGCACCTAGCAAGCAAAACAAACAGCAGTTGGCTGCTAACTTCCTGTCTGTGGCCGGAATGAGCGGCGATACCTTGGTCAAACGTCTGTTTCAATGTTCGCCATTCCGTGACATCACTTCCTGTCTTTCTCATGATGCGTAATCCACCTCAGTGTGGCGGCATGGCCCGTGATGGGATCTCCGTGATGATGCTCGCCGTCTCTGTAGCTGTGGTTGTGATGTAAAGGGTCCATGTCGGCGTACTCGGGCCTGAGCCGAAGCTTGCCGTGAGGGGAAGAGGACACGTCCACATCCCTGTTGACTGAGTAGCCAGGCTGGATGCTGTACACCTCCATCACCGAGCGCAGTGACCTGGACTGAACTGCGGGTCAGGTATAGGGGAAGTCCCAGAGGAAGCAGTTAGATGCTTGTTTGGTTATATTAGGATACTGAAGTACGTGCCCACTTTTTCAACAACCCCACTTTAAAAACAAATTGACATATTAAGCCTTGTTTTCAGAGAAATCTAACCAAATTAATTGAGGTTCATGCTTAGAGAAAAAAAATCCAATCGGGTAAGAAAAATAGCCATATTTAAAATAAAAAAAATGAAGCAATATAATTTTTATATTTACCCTATTTGCATTTTTTAATTTTTTCCCATTAAACCCTTACTAAAATTTTTTATATTTGTCTAAATACAAACCTTAATATCATAGGTCATTTTGCTTCTCAGATAAATGTCTTATTTCAAGAATGTTAACCTATTTTTACTGAAAGGTGTGTGTGTTTTCTGTGTTATTTGTGTGTGTGTGTGTGTGTGTGTGTGTGTGTGTGTGCGTGTGTGTGTGTGTGTTTTCCGTAACTTTTTGCATGCTGCTGTATTATTATTTGCATTATTTATTTTTCCAATTCTTGTCTGTTATAGTGGTATAATCTATTCAGATAAAGCCACAATGAAATGCCAAGTAAAAGTCAAATGCTTACAAATGTTGATGGAATGAATGCTTGAGGATTAAATAATAACTAGATTTGCCAAAGTTTGCGAGGTTAGTTGCATCAAATCTTTGTACGATATTCTGTGAGCATTTGTGCATCTGTGATTTGTATTTTGTTGCTGTTGTTGTTTGCAACATTTACCCTATTTTACAATTTTTTTTGTTTTCTGTACAACTTTTGCATGCTTTCCAGTTTCAATATATTGCTGCAGTATAATCTATTTAGATAAACCCATACCTAAATGCTAAAAGCAAAACAGACTGTGGTTGGTTGCTTTGCATGTCAATCAGACGCTCACTTCCTGTCTGTGGGTTTCCTGTCTGGAAACAATTTATGTTAACAAATGTTCATGCAATGAACGCTTGAGGATGAAACAGGCACTAGATTTGCCAGATTACTGTATTTGCATGAAATTTTTGTGCAATACTCTTACAATACAGTTTGTTTAAGGTGCATTATTTGCAAGTAAACTAAAGAATCTATAAAATATATACATTTTCGAAACATTTTATATTTTACAGTTCCGGTCTGTTATTGCAGTGTAATCTATTCAGATAAACCTGCACCTAGCAAGCAAAACAAACAGCAGTTGGCTGCTAACTTCCTGTCTGTGGCCGGAATGAGCGGCGATACCTTGGTCAAACGTCTGTTTCAATGTTCGCCATTCCGTGACATCACTTCCTGTCTTTCTCATGATGCGTAATCCACCTCAGTGTGGCGGCATGGCCCGTGATGGGATCTCCGTGATGATGCTCGCCGTCTCTGTAGCTGTGGTTGTGATGTAAAGGGTCCATGTCGGCGTACTCGGGCCTGAGCCGAAGCTTGCCGTGAGGGGAAGAGGACACGTCCACATCCCTGTTGACTGAGTAGCCAGGCTGGATGCTGTACACCTCCATCACCGAGCGCAGTGACCTGGACTGAACTGCAGGAGAGAGGAGAAGAGTAAAACAGACCTTGTACTGAGTCGCTTCATCATCTCAGTCTCGACACAGTGACTCACTGCTGCATATTCAGTGCGTTCTGTCTCCGGGCTCCGGGACTTTTCACAGTCAAACATGCACGTGTCAGTAGTCAGTTTTTTCATTTGTATGTACATAGCATTAAACGCTTGCCCAAGAGCAGTTCCATTATACTGTACATAAGTATGAAAACAGGACCTTGCCATATTAGCTTCATGAAAAAGAACATTATGTACCATCATACATGCAGCACTCTTCAGGGTTATTTCTGTCATCATTTACATAACCTTCAGGGTCCGAGCAACATGAGGATGAGTAAATGATTTCTGAGTGAATGAATATTGTTCTTGAGTTGAGCTATGGGACATCATAGGTTCTTCAGATCAGTGTTTTTGGTTTCTGGGTTCTTTAAAGCAGGGGTTTCAAACTTTTGGATGACATTGACTCCAAATATGGTGATCCTCTTGCTAAAATATAAAAGAAACTATATATTTTAATTTTTAAAGACCCAAACTGTGTGAGAAAAATATGCTATTAATAAATTAATAATATAATATTTTTATTTAAGCATATTTATTAATAATGTAAATTATTAACAAATATGCTTAAATAAAAAGATAAATATATTCTTTTACAAAATTAAATAATATAAATAATAATAAAAAATATATTCATTATTATATTTTTACTATATACTGTATATACTATTTAAAGGCAAAATATGAAAGCAACTGTATATTTTCATGTTTAAAGACCCAATCTGTGAGATAAAATATGATACATGTGTGTGTGTGTACAAAATTAAATTATATAGGCAATAATATAAAATATATTTATTATAAAATTTTACTATATATACACTATTTAGACCCTTTTCACAAACTGTGATGTTTTTGTACAGTTATTGACATTGTAAATCTAGAAAGTTTTTTTTTATATTATCTTTTTTTTTAATATATTTAATGTACATTTATAATATTGTATTTATAAAAAAAAACGAGTTAAGTTAATTTAGTGTTTCTAATACAATGGCTGAGGGAGCGATGGAAATTAGGACATTTTGCACATTGTATAAAATATAATTGTAAGATTTGTAGTGCATGTACAGTATTGTGTGTCCTTCGATGTTTACCTATTTTTTACTGAATTTACAATTCATAAAATTAAATTAATATTTTATTAAAATGTTAAAATATATTTACATCTTATCAAGTTGACTGTATCCTTTTCTCTCCAATATTCTAGATACCTACAGAAAATATTTCTCAGTTCACATTTATTTGTATAGTGCTTTTCACAATTCTGAAAAGTTAACTTCCACAGTCAAATCGTTTTTTTCTGTCCAATTTTAAATGGACTCCCTTGAACCCTCTTGTGGAGTCCAATTTTTGGAGTCAAAAACGGCAGTACATGACGGGTTCTAAAACTTAAACATTACCCAAAAATACTCTGTTTTCAGCATCAGACGGTGAAACGAACGCTGTCAGAGATTACACCAAGCGGAGTACGAGAAAGGTCAAACATGAGGACTTGCAAAGAAAAGTTGTGCCACATGAAAAATGAATGCTGGTGAACATTCAGTACGTCTGTGCTTGAGAGGAACACACATTGTATAACGTCTGACAGCTGTGACCTCGTTGCTTTCTGACTGCTGTCACTGCTCAGTAAGAACAGAAGTGCCTGACGACGCTCAAATGCGAGCTATAAATTGTCTGTTCACTTCAGTGCTGCAGCCTCCCATAAGACTTTGACCTGTTAAAGAAAACCTGAATATAAATCAGGTTACACCTTGATGTGGAGTGTCTGTATTATACAGATGAAAATCAGCAGCTTATATATGTATAATGAGATTTGGAGTCAGTAAACAAGGTTCACTGTACACTTCAGATGGTAAACAGAGATGTCTGGTTGTTACACAGTTTTCTGAAATGCATTCAGAAGCATAATATGATGTAAATGCACCCTTTTATGATGCTTATCTGCAGTGCTTTTCATGTGGAATGCTGTCGAAGTCGATGTTGACTGACCTTTCACGGCGCTGAAGTCCCCGGGGTCAGGGGCCCTCCTGTGTGAGATGGGCTGGAGGCTCGGGATGAGAATGAGAGAGAAAGAGAGGACCAGCACCTAGGAAAAGAAGGAATATTAAACGAGAGGGAGTAAATAAGCAAGTCCTGCTATATTGGTCAGCTGATGACCTACATCCTTTAAACGGCTTGTTCCAATCAACACTTTCATTATAATCATCATCCTCATTCGCGTTCTCTTTCCGCTACATGCACAGGAAAGATAAAAAGATGCAGAAAAACAAGGATGTTATTTACTTAAGTCAGCAATATTGCAATATTTTTCTCATATACTTCAAATAATTATTATATATACTGTTCAGAGGTTTTTGAAACATCTCGTACTCTATTTCTCACCAAGACCAATTTTTTTATCATAAATGCAGTAAAAATTAAAAATATATTTTTAAATTCTAAAATAACTGTGTTCTATTTGAATATATTTTAAAACGAATTTATTACTGTGATGCAAAGCTGAATTTTCAGCATCATTACTCCAGTCTTCAGTGTCACATGATCCTTCAGAAATCATTCTAATATACTGATTTTTTGCTTAAGAAACATTTCTAATTATTATCAATGTTGAAAACAGTTGTGCTGCTTCATATTTTTTGTGGAAACCATGATACATTTTATTTTTCAGGATTCTTTGATAAATAGAAAGTTCAAATGAACTGCATTAATTTAAACAGAAATCTTTTTTTAGAGCATAAATGTCTTTACCTTCACTTTTGACCAATTTAATGCATCCTTGCTGAATAAAAGTATACATTTTTTCTAAAAACCTAAACTAAAAAAACAACAGTAGTGTACATTACTAAATTATAATTATTGCAATTTATCATCATAACATTCAGTCCTTCTTTTCTTTACTTGTTTCTGCAAGACATTTTTCTCCCTAACTTCTTTTCTCCCCTCTTTCCTTCTTTCCTTTTCAGCTCTTTCATTCTAAACATGTTTGTGAGATGCTGTAAATCATGAAGTCTGCTCTGTACACACGTCAGCAGTATTGTAATATCCAGACAGTCCACTTCATTTATCTTCATGGCTTCGGTGTTCATTTTAATTCAAACACCCACCCAGTGCCTCACTTTTGAAATTATTCATTCATCTGCTCAAGGGAGAGATTCAAGCTAGGATTTATTAATAAAGGAGAATGTAATTGTATCGACTGACGCATCTCGACAGAGAGCGGACAGCGACGAGTACGAAATGTCCTGCAGAGCAGAGAGACAGACCACAAAACATTAACACTGATTATTGTTTCTTCTGGTTATTTTCTTTCACTGTCAGGAGTAAGGAGTATGTGAAGAGCAAAGCTCAGATCATTTGGAAGAAATTATCTGAAAAGATCTTTTAATAGAATATTAGTTTAATAAAACGTATTTAATTTTGTTTAAAAATAACATTAAATCAGTATATTATTTAATTAAGTTTTTAATTAATAACTATTTTACATTTATATATATATATATATATATATATATATATAT